TCTCCGCTTCGGCCTCTTACTCAGTCAATAAGTACAAATATTCGCCATTTTGAATTGATCGCTACCTTCATTTAGACCTCTGTATTAGTTGAAGGATTTTTGTTAGGATTTTCCGGGGGACTGGTATAACGTGTACATTTTTTCTTACTACTATTCTTCCAACAAAGCCATGCAAAACAGAAAGGAATTAAGTACCCAACTACATCTCTGAGAAGTTCATCAGTAGTTTCCTTTCCATTATATGGCTGACCAGTTAAGACTGCCACAATCAAAAGACAAATGGTTGCAAAAATGCAAGAAAAACTCCAGTAAAAAGGCTGTCGCCACGAAAAGACGCGATCATCATTAGAATAACAAGTATTATCATCAGTACCACTAGTATCACCATCGCCTTTACCTTTCCCAGGTGATTTGTAATTCACCCTTTCCCGGGGTCTTGTCAAATAATAATACTGATAGACATAGTATGAAGAGACACCAACAATAAGGCAAGTTCCAAGCAGATGAAAAATACCCCATATTGGATTGAGCAAGACACCAACTACAAGCCAACAAAAATGGTAAGCTACCAAGTTTGCACACAGCAAATAGAAGACTAACTTTACGTCTTTCTTTTCGAGGTCACGAAATGTACGAAAACTGTAACAACATATGATAACAAAGAATGTGATACTGTGAGCAGAAATTGATAGTAGAATTGCCCAGACATANAGTCATTTCAGGAGTCCTCAGTATCAAACCCTGTTTGATAAACATTTTCAAACAAACTGCTGAATGGTAAATCAGGCTGATCACTTGCCTTGGATTTTGATTTGGGGTTATATTTAATTTCTAAATTCACAAACATGGATAGCATAACAAAGTATCATAATGCTGAGAAAATCTGTTCAGCAAACATACATTTCACAAGAGATCAGGCCAACTTAGTGTATCCATCTACAAGATTTAAAAATTTTCGGGTTCTGCTGGAATTGTCTTCATTCATTTTTTTATTCATTTGGACTTAATTAGTATTGCTAGTAATCTTTAACTCAAAGTATCAAAGTACTTACAGCAGCTAGAGCATCCTCTATGTGCTTCTTCAATATCCCCTTTGTCACATCACAGCTTGAAAGTGAAATTGTTATATTCAGCTCCTGAGTGCGACTGTTCACCTGGATTGCTCCTAAAGACCAAAATTCAAGGACTTTGGCAGGAAGAGCGGCATAAAGGCAAGATATGCTCCAGATGTACTTGGCGGCTGGAGTCGAAAGGTTCGTTTCTTTAGGGCCATAGACGTTTACAAGCACACGGACTGAAGAGGGGCTCTTTGGTGGATAAAGAGCCGATTCAATATTAAAACTGTTTTCTGACTTTGTCAAGATGTTATAGACTTGCTCATAGGTGATTTTGTCACAGGATGAAGCGGAGTGGACAGGACAGGTACAATTGTTGACTACTGCAGCTTCAGTCGCATGCTTTGGAATTAATAAATGTACACACATCACCATGACACGAACAAGGATAAAAAGACCATGGTTGTGATGCATGGCTGTTATACTTGGCACACGTTGAAGCTTCTTATGGCTCTGTATTAATGCAACTGTGAAAAATGTCTTCTGTAAGAATAGCAACCTAATTTTAACTCTCCTTCACTGGATCTTCGCATGACTGTTGTAGAATACAACACAAGTTACGTTAAATTCATAGTTAACACTTGGGAACAGAGTGACTCATCAGTCTTAGAGCTTTCCAAATTCAAAGAGATAGTGCATCTTTGTCTAATCAAAGTGACTGACAGCGGCCTTTTNAGACATAACTTAAACATAAACAGGGTTTAATGTACAGGCAAGTACATAATAGTATCATATGATTTAAAGACCCAGAATTTTTCAAGTTTTCTTATTAATGAAATTGTAATTTCATGCCAGTATGTTTCCCAAATTCAAGCTTCTGGTATGTGGAGACATGAAATAAATAAGTGAACTTAACATCATGTAAATGGTCAACTTGATATGCTATCAGAATTTGTTTTTCAGCTGAAATATGACTTAGGAATGCAATTTTGTTAGTGTTTATCAACATACATAAAAATATTCAAGCTTTTGTTTATTTTGGTCAGCTACTGTGTGTATCAATCAGCACAATAACCTACTTCATGTAGATCTTATTGGTTTCTAGTGTAATATATTGTTGCTGCATGAGCCTAGTTTACATTTTGCACTTGGGTTTTGCACTAGTGATACATGAAAAAGGCACCTAGCTGTTTTCAGCCAATCAAGAGTGAAGTTTTTCATGTATGTCAGTATTGTGATGAATTAGCCAAAACCAAACAAGTAACTGAAAGGACTTGTAGTCTACCAAATGAAGAATACACCTGTATTGCTACCAAGTTTAAATATCAATGCTTATACATCTCAACCATTATGAAGAGAATTTAGAAGACTGCCAAGCTTACAGGAAGCCATGAAATGTTGAGGCCTGAATAACTCTGAGCATTCCTTGGAAAACAAAATACTAATCACATTTCAGTTGTAACATAAAACTACAAGGCTCCTATTTGTAATTTAATGAAAGCAAAACCACTTTGTTACTGAATTTCAATGTGTTACTTCCTCAAAGTTTGGATTAGTACCATTAATTAAGGTTTTCATATTAATGACATCAACCACAGTTTTAGGTTAGTAATTAGAGGTTTGTGAATCGGTTTAGCTATGTTGACATGAATGAATAATTTCATTTGAAGAGGCCGTCATTTTGAATTTCCAGACAACAGCAGTGCTTGATTTTCAAATGGCAACAAAAAGTCCTATTCTCACTAAAACATTCCAGTAAATGACTTACATGAAATGTGACTGCACTTATACTTCAGTCACAAAAGTTCTAGCGGTACATAAATTGGGTAAACCAAAACACTTAACTTCATTCCACATTTTGTACTTTCCAACAACTTGCTACAGTGTTGGTATATAAAAAACTCCTCGCTGTAATCTGCACTTAGAAGACAAGCGGACTGTAGGAAAGCCTGGAGTGTGTGAAATCTAAGCAACGAAGATGAACAGATGACTAGATAAAAAATTATCTTCAACCATGTGTTTCACCCATAAATACAAAATGGTTGCTTTCTGAAGCTTTGAAGCTTACATAACTTAGCCAAGCAACAAATTCCACCCACCAGCCAGCCAGTTAGCCAGCTAGCCAGTTAGCCACCCAGCCAGCTAGCTAGCCAGTCAGGTAGCCCACCAGCCAGCTAGGAAAAAACATCTTGGATCATGGCATAGTGCAGTTTACACTTTGTGTAAGCCAAACAAAAACAGAGAATACTTTGAATCCCTACCTCTCATTTTTTGTGCTAATGATATGGACATACATTTATTCTTACTCTGGTATGGTTCAACCAGTAAGCTTTTGATTCCTGGCAGAATTCCAATAGAGTTTTACACACA